TTTCAGATTTAAATAAAAATCAGCTTTAAGTTGAATGCAATCTGCTCCATTTTCTGCTTATGGTTGCCACTTTTTTCACTGAAAACATGTGGTAAATGATTTTCGTTTTGTTCAGCTGATGTCAATTTCCTCCAGGCTGCTTCATCATCGGAAGATCTTCTGGATGATTCATCATCAGTTTATGACATGGAATCGAGGAGTTTTATAGATCCTACCTATCAGCTTTCAGTATCTGGTTAGACCTCTTTTAAAAATTCACATTTTTGATGCAATTTAAAGTATCAATTGATAGTTCGGATGTTCAACAATTAGAAGACGCTTTATAGGCCCAACATTCGAAGTTATTTCTCGTGAATACCCTGAATTACTGCTCAAATTTGTGACTGTTTGTGATGTTTTTGCACGAATGTCACCTGAACAAAAACAGATGTTAGTAAACAAACTTCAAGAAGTTGAATATACCGTGGCAATGTGTGGTGATGGCGCCAATGACTGTGCTGCTTTAAAAGTATTTGCATTTGATTTATATGGCATCATTTACGTCTTCTGATCATCCATAGAGTTTTTTAATTTTAAGGTTAGATTTGTAAGATGAGTTTTTTTTATTGTGCAGAAAGGAAGGAAAATATTTTGTATCACTAATAAAAGGCTTTCAGGCAGCTCACGCTGGTATATCGTTGTCGGAAGCAGAAGCTTCAATTGCAGCTCCATTCACTTCACGTGTACCTGATATTCGTTGCGTTCCAATGATTATCCGTGAAGGTAAAAGTGTTACAGTTAAATGGCATCTTCATTCAGAAATATTAGTATATATAACTCGGTAGTAAAATGTTCGTGATTTTTTTTTTTTTTCTTTTAGGTCGAGCAGCTTTGGTAACTTCGTTTGGAATTTTTAAATATATGGCAAGCTGTTCATTAACTCAGTTTATTTCTGTGATTTTGCTTTATTGGCTTGCTACAAATCTTACAGATTTTCAGGTTATTTCTTTACATTGCTAATTTATACCCATTTACAATTGTTGAGTTTAGTTAATGCCGTTTGATTTGCCCAGGTGTATGCAGTTAGTTAATGTTTAAAATTTCAGTTTCTTTTCATCGATTTATTCTTGGTAACAACAGTGGCTGCATGTTTCGGATATACTCCACCATGTCAAAAGCTTGCAATTTCTCCCCCACCGACGAAATTACTTTCTTTTGGATCACTGATTTCAGTTGTGGGGCAGCTCTTGATTGTTTTTGTTTTTCAGGTTAGTTTTTTCATTGTAAATGTATAATATGAAAGTTCAAAGAGCTAAGTTTGTTATTTATTTTATGGCGCAATTTGCTAGCGCACCACATCAGCTATGTTTAAAATTCATTGAAATGAAAAACAGAATTCATTTGACTGATCTCTGATTAGTAATTCATTTCAGTTGTCTATTTTTATATATACTGCAGTGCAGCCATGGTTTGTGCCTTATTCTATTCCATTTGGGATTTCTCTTGAGGATAAAAGAAGTATGCAGGTAACTGTGTACTATTTGTAGGAGAAAATATATTCTTATTATAATTTTTATCTGATCTTATATTTGTTTACTTTTGATAAAATAACGTAATTATTAGATTTTTGGAAAGATTATGATTCAAATGAAACAATGGCTATAATTTGATTTGCAGGGAACTGCAGTGTTTTGTTTGTCCTCTTTCCAATATTTAACTTTGGCAGTTATTTATAGTAGAGGGCCTCCATATCGTAAAACGATTTTCAGTAACACTCCTATTTGTGCCTGCCTTGGTTAGTGCAGCATTATTTCGTTCATTACTCATATTTGTCACAAGAATGACATATATTAAACTGCTTAAAGAGATATTTTGGTACAAGAATTGACGTTTTTGTTTCAGTAATATTAATTTCTATCTGCGTATGGCTTACAATTAATCCTCCATATTTTGTGGCCAAACATATGCAATATGATCCACTTCCGGAGCCTGGCTATCGAATTTTCATACTTGTTGTTGCTCTAAATTATATTTTATGCGCCTATTTGTATGAAACAGGTGTTATCGAATACTTGGTTCTTACTGTCCGCGAAAAGTAGGTTACTTTATTTTCTATCATTTTGTTTTGTATAATGAAGAGCTTTAATGACCGTTATTTAGGGATGGCAGTTTTCTGGAGTTGTATAGGTTTTCTAAATTCGTTGATTTGATATACATTTGTTTACCTTAATATTTTCTACATGGAAGGCACTAGTTTTGATGTTAAATGATGACATTTGTTACAATTTATATGACATGTATTATAAATAACATTACAATTTAGATGGCGTAAGAAGCACTCTGCTGAGACGGATGCAGATATGCTAAACAAAAATGAGAAAATTTTGCTTTCGATTAGCAGCAGCCCAAGCTGGATTCCAAGCGCAACTGAAGGATCTAGTGATCATTTTGGATTATACTCCTTTTCAAATTCTTCACATATTATTAAGTATTACTCACCGGGATGCTTTTAGCGGAATTTGAATAGGTTTGAATTAGGGATAACTTTTATTTGGTGTTTCCAAAAGAGATTCCATTGAAGTATTTACTACTACAGAAAATTTATTCCGTTATAATTAAATTTTAAAGAAAATTAATACTTTAGACGTCCGCTACTTCAGGAATTCTTTTCTTTGATTTTTCCATCAACTATGGTTGGTTTTAATTTTTAATTCTCTCATTAATTTGGACATGTTGCCCACTGTACAATGCTCACTAATTCATTTTTCAATTAAAATAAAAAAAAAGAAATAGCACAGTTTCAAAAACTATTTTTTGCATAACAAAACATCTATATGTTGTTATTGTTCATTGTAAAAAAAAAGTTGTTGAATTATTTCCATACGATCTATTTTGTTACTTTGTAATGTTGTCATTTTTCATAGTTTTATTCATGCTGTTGCTGAAGAAAGTTTAACTTATATTGATTGGAAAATTAAAGAAAGCGGAAAGTGAACTTTTAGGTTAGTGAGAGACATTATGAGCTGATCGTAGTTATGTTTTTAATTTTTTCTGATTGGTATTTTAGAAAAGATTGCTGCTAACTGTTACTGTTTTCCTGCAGTTGTTTAAAGTTTCACTTTTTTTTCCTGCTTATTTTTGGATTTTAATGGATTGTGTGACTTTAATATTCCACTTACAATCATTTTTCAATAAAATAGATTTGGTAGCTCATCCGTTGATAGCGTTTTATCATCTTATGCTAACTAGCTAGCAGATGTGATTTCTTTATATTTATAATTGAATCATACCTATCAAAGTAAGTCGATTATTTCTTAATGCGTTCCACAAAGTATCTAGCTTCCATCGTCAGTCCCGTTTATCTCTTCGTCACTCATTTTATTGGAAATACTTGAACAGTATTCAGCCAATACAATGACGATTTGTTTCATATTGTATCCTCTTAAGGATATCACCTGTAACTTAATTATCTTTCGGAGTGTGTTTACAGATTATGTGTATTGCTTAAGCTAATTGAGCATCTTTAAAGGTAATGTGTTGGTATACAATGGCGAAATGAATCGTGAAGTAGTATCACCGGTGAGAGTTAGTTGTTCGTTGCTAAGAAATTGTTAATTGTTGATCATTTATGAATTACGGCGCGTATTGTGCCAATTTGTATCATTCGACAAAAAACAAAAAAGCATGCCACACCACGAAATCTGGGAGAACAAGCTACTTTGATCAGTGACAAGAAATTGGGAGTAACAACAGTGGTGTTAGGTTTTCTTGCTGAGTACAGGTGATTTTCTGGTAAATGAGAGGCTTGCTTGTTCTGCTATCGAGGCATAGTTTGAAGCTATAGGTGAATTCGATTCCATAAAGTTTGCACGCTTTTATCTCGCTGTGAAATGATACTATTTCGAATTAAGTATGGCGATGATGTTACACTTCGTAACACATTTAGGAACTCATTACAGAACTCTAAAATTTATCCGTAATGGAGGATAAAAGCCGCCAAAAATATTTTAATTTAATATTTTAATAAAATGTTTAATAAAGTGTCACTAACAAACAAACTAATTTTGATATCGGTAATGCAAAAATGTAAGGAGATATGACGAAATTGCTTCAAAATGTTTCCCTCAAGAAGAATTTCTTTCTTTCTAGGACAGAGTTAGAAGGAAATTTTATAAACACAAATTGAAGAGAGTGGGGTAGTTGGTAAGTAAAACGCAGATTTTGAAATTGTGGTTCAAGTGTATATTTTCAGGCTTGCGGTGGATAAGATATTTTCAGGAGTAGGTAAAATATTCGAAGAACCCACGAAGTTGGATTATTAACATTAGAAAGTTATGGTTGAGACAACCAAACGAATTTAGCTTACTTACTGTTTACTCTGCAAGGTGCTAAATATCGGCTTAAATGATAAATTTTTATTTAAACAAATACTGCCACCGAATTCGGTTACAGTTGACTCGTAATTATTACACATCGAACATGCGAGCATATTGATGAACGATAACAAACGAATCAGCGAAAATGACTAACTGACAACCCAGAGTGACGTAAGTAAAGTGGAAATCATTCCACAATTTCAAAAGAAAAGTTATAGGAATTAATAATGGACATCATCCCTGTAATACGTGGCAACCGAAGAAAGCGCAATAATTTAAGAGAATACAAAGCAATGATGTGTTTTACAAAGCAATAATGTATTTTAGTTAAAAGAATAAATCACTAACATAAACGTTTAACGTTGTGTATTCTTTCAAAAAAGTTGTACGAAATTTATATAATACTTCTGCTGTGCAAGATCCTTAGTAATAAAGAAAAGGTGATAGGAATGAACGAAACACAAGAAATGTGAAAACAATAAAGAATTATAAAAACAGATTTAGTTAATCAGATTGTTCCATTTTCCACGAATGCATGATCATTTTCACGTCCCCTGCATGCATGCACACTTCTCATGGAAAATGCTAACATTCTTCAAACATATTTGTAATCAAATAACAATAAACAAGCCTGCCGAATTCCACTCATGATTCCTTCGCATCGTCCACAACAATAAACAACTTTTGGATGAATTTAGTCATTATTTCTGCAATTTCACCAAGTTGATTTACTTTATCATGTTGAAAGAAAAAGATTCACAATGCAACTAGCAAACAATTAACAAAAAAGAAGCAGAAAGCTTCTTGGTGTGTCGAAACCCTAACTATTACCTTATTCTTGAGGCTAGCAATAAAACATAGATAGAATCATATGTCAAAATACCTGAAGCTATCCCAATGCATCTTGGCTTACTTTTCCATGCCACAAATATTAAATAAACAGGAATCGCAGTAAGCATTATTCCGATACCAATTGCTGAAAAAAAAATATATATATCTCTAAAAATCTATCGAAAAAGTAACCCAGAAAAACAAGAGAAATGAGAAAGTCATCTCTTTTGAATAAAGGAACGGACCTGTATCCTTCGGTGAACCAACAATAGGAACGACCACTAAAGCAACACAACCAATTAAGAAAATTATCGGAAACAATAGGTTAACCTGGAAAACATGAGTCAGAGGATCTGAATAGAAAGTTGATATTAATCTCTAAGAAAAACCAAAAAAAAAAAAAAAAAAAAAAGATCCTGAATAACGCACGAAATATTAACCTTGATAGGCCTTTCAGCATCCGGCATTTTTTTTCGTAACCAAAACAGTGCTGCAATCACACAGGCAATAGCCAACCAATACACTATTTGGATATAATTGATAAGTGAAAAGACATTGTTGGACAAACTGAGAAAAGCTATGGAAAGCAATCCCTAAAAAATACCATAATTTCATATGCCATGAAGAAATATTAAGTCTTCTCATTATACGGCTAAAAAATGCTAAGTTAGTATTATTAAGTAAACATTATAAATTGATTAGAAATTTGTGGCATCATAGTGGAAAAAATCTCGCAGTGTTCCATTACCTCAATTTCAGAATCATTCATAACAATTAGGGTTCACGAAAACCATAACAAACCGTAAAAATGACTGCAGGAATTGGCGTACGGGTATTTTTATTAATCATTGTTAAAACCAGCGGCATGTGTCCTTCTCGTGCTCCAACGTAGAATAACCTGAGAATAAACTTGGTAAACAAAAATCAAAATCTTTATTTTTGAAGAGTCTTATGAAAAGTTTTGAAAAGCCTTGTTCAAAAACCTGGATGAAGTGAAAATTACTCCATTCGCTGAACCAATTGTCGAACATGCAACGAATATGGGCATTACAAAGGCAAATGGCCCAAACGTTTTATTAGCGAATTCCTAAAATAAAAAACACATGTTCCAGTCTGAATTCGATTATATAATAACAGACTCTAATTTATTAAAAATTCATGTTGCAATACACTAACATACGCTTACTTTCCAAATAAATAAGTAAATACTTCAAAGAGAAAGTGCAAACACAACTTACAACAGCAACTGCTGGACTACTCAACATGTCATCCGGTGTGATCACCGTATATAAAGCAACATTTGTTAACGTGTAGATTACCGTGCACACAGTACATGATATTGCAATTGCCAATGGCAAATTTCTGAAAAAACTTTTCAGTACACCATAACATTAGTTCATCATTACCAGCTACATAGTTCGTGCTGAACAAAAGAAACGTTAACACTATGGATGCGATGAGCAAAAGAATAACAAATACATAATGGACAAATAATTTTGTAATTAATGAACCAATATAATTATCCATTCAAAAATAGCTCAAATACATCGCCGTTACATTACAAAATTTAATGAAAAAAAGTACCGCCTCGGACTTTGTAATTCCTCAACGATGAAATTTAAATAATTCCATCCCTGATATGCAAAAAGACCGGAATAAAACGCCAGCGATGCAGTCCCAACGTCAGGCGTCGTATTTTCGAACATATTTTCAAACGACTCTCTGTACTGTGGTTTTCCTGTAAGTGGGTGTCCATAAAATGGAATGTAAACTAATATTAATACGCACGACTACAAATAAACCATAAACCATATATTATCACAAAAAGAGAAAAAAAAAAAACACAACAAACATGACAGAGGAAAAGAAAACCTGATATTAGCAGCACTGCACCAGTGCCAATAATCAAACACAGTGCAAACAGTTTTGCAACAGTGAAAAAATCCTGAACGAAAGTTGCTAATCGTATTGACATGCAATTTATTGCTGTCAGAATTACTGTAACAAACATAAAAATTAATTAAAACAACAATGTTAGTTCACTTAAAAAAGTTCCCAAAATATTAGTGAATTAGTTTGTTCCTATTCCTCTCTCAAGCAACTACGTCAAATCAAATTTAAAACAGTTAAAATCTTTTCTGTAATAACCTACCAAGTAAAACTGTTGCAAGCAATGCCGGAAGTTCGGCAGGTGGATCACAATTTGGATAAAATGGTCGCAGCATATAAATCGCAAAAGTCAACGCTACAACGGTGCAAGTACAAGGTCTGAAATCAGATATGATAGCAAATAAAAATGGAAGGTTCGAAAATAAAATACAAGTAGTTTTCGACAACAAGCGTAATATGATCTTGAAATTCACCTAACTACTATAGCTTCAACCCAAAGACGTATGAAAGCCAGAAAGGGACCAAATGATTCCATAATATACGCATAATCTCCACCCGACTTGTGAATTAGAGTACCAAGTTCGGCGTAACAGTAAGCACCAACTGCAGCGAACAAACCACAAGCAACCCAAACAATCAACGATAACCCGACACTTCCCGCTTCTAAAATTAAAAATATCCGTTAATGCAGCAGAAAACGTAATCAGCAAGGAAATGAAGAAATAAATAATCTAAAAAAAGTAGATTAATGACTACAACCCACTTTCTTGGACACCCGTCGGTGACACGAATATCCCAGATCCAATGATACAGCCAACGATTATAGAAACACCATTGAACAGTGTGAGTGATTTCGCAAGGCCAACGGTGTCATCTTTTGGGGAAGCACCATTTTTTGAGCCCATCCTAATGATGACAGTAAAAACTGAAAATGGGTTCCACCTAATTTAAATAATTAGTAATATCATGATGTAAACATAGGTCAATAAATGGATTATATAAATAAATATATACATATATTTAAAACTAATAACATGGAAATCCAAGAAAATAGCACGGCACAATGATACAAAAACCTTAACCAGAAATCTCCAGTTAAGTTTGTGGATAAAAATTGAATTGAATTAAAGGAACAATCATAGAAGCATTGATAACTTCCAACATATCTATCCCCCAAATTTTACAGCAACAAGATCATTCTAAAATTTCCAAACCAATTTAAATCCCCCAACAAATCCCTGGTCCCATTTGGCTGTTGCTTGGATATGGCCGCATTATGAATGAACGATATCTCAACCCAGACAGATGGCTTACTGTTTCGTTATTATCGGACGGCACTCGTAAATAACATATAAGTTAGACCGGTAGCAATTATTCATATGGTCCAACGAAAAATCCTTAGAAATCAGTTATTCAGGATGCCACTCCAACTAGAATCACGGACTTCGTTTCTGTTTGCTACTTTTAGGTCGATGCATTTAATCTTTAAATACTTTTAAAAATGTCTGATCAAACACCACATAGTTTTTCAATCTCATATGTCTACACTTTCCCAAATACATCCCAGGTACAATTGGAGAAGGTATACTCCCCTCCTCCCTTCCCCCCTTCTCCCCCCCTATGAAAAATCACGGCAAATCTTCATTGGAAGTTCCCGAAAAAAAAGAAAGGAAAATGCTGAAAAGGGATGAAATTAAAGAGCAAAAACCACGCTTATAATGCTGATTTTTGATCACAAAGCCTCTTTGTGTGATAGCAATAATCATATTCCTGTAAATTCACATATTTCGAGAACAAAGAACAGTCATAATGGATCAAAGGCGATATCCAAGTAGCAACCCTTTATGTAGAAAGCTCTTTCATTTTTTTATCGCTTTTCAAAGTATCAGGTCATTTTTTAAATCACACATCTTATTTTTAGAATTCGATCTTTCCAACTGGGCTCCCCCAATCACTTCACATAACGAGGGAAAGGTAACTTCTTAATAGGACAAGGTTAAAAAAGTTACTATGCAATAAATTCACACCGGAAATTCTGGCCATTTCACTTGTATCTTTTTTGTAATTTTTTACGTTTTGTTACACCTTACGTTCATTCTTACAGATTTAAGTAAATAGAATTCGGAATTTCAACTTATCGGAGGTAAAATTTCTAAACATTGAACAAAAAAATACAGAAATTCTTCATTACAACGATCTCTTGTTTTTTGAAAAAAAAAAAAATACATGTCATGAAATGGAGAATTGCACCAGATATTGCACCAGATTAAGGTATCCGTCGAGTGATTCGTAAAGGATACGCTATGATGACAGAAATAGGAATGATTATAGGAAAAAAGGCAAACATGTCACGCTTGATAGCAAAATACATCATTACTATTGCTGCCATGTAGAAAAATATTTGTTTGTTGCACGTGTCTGTTTACGACGAAATTTGTTATTCAGCCTTTTAAAATTATTCTCTTAAATACCGATATGGAATTCATGCTACAATACTGAAGTCAGAACTGTCTTTTGTTGACTGATTGATCACTCTACCAATAACCCTTTCATCAGATTTAAAGACGAATTATTGTAGGAAGAATAGTTTTCGATCCTTGTTCTCAAACAACCATTGGGAAATTGGAAAATCAAGAAAAAATACGACAAAGTACAAAGCCTTTTACATCAAAGAAGAATGGCAATGGAAATGTAACGGCGCAGTAGTGTTATTTTCGCTAAGAAACACAATATTACTAATATACTTGCCATCAGCAAGTTATTACTAATCTCCTTTTGCAGTCAAATATGTTTTTAGTCGTTCAGAAAGTATGTACCATTGGTAGAGACACATGTATGTAGAAGAATTTCGACCACTGGTGCTTTTTTGGCCTACCATTATGCTTAATAACTGAGAATCATGAAGTGCTCCTGCTGATTCAGAAATGAAGTGATTGAGAGGAAATACGAAGGTACCTGATAACAACACTTATGAAAGGTGTAAACCGAAACAGACAGAATGAGTTTGAGTTCAAATGATACCGTATGAAATAGGTGGGTGACTACCTATTTTCAAAGAAAACATCGATAACTCCAACTTAACTAAATCACTTATATACATTGCACTATCACACAATCAATACTTAAATATTTAATAAGTTTTTCCGTAAAGCAAGTACACAAATTTAGAACTCAACATTGCATATATTTGAGAAGAACTTTTGGACACTTAAATAACAACATCATTATGTGCGACTCAGTCTTGTCACCTGTACAGACACCTCCCTTGCTGATTAACCTAATCAATAGTTGTCGTATTTTAAAATAAACGAATTTTCTACAGGACTCCAGCTGACTTCTAAAAGAAGAATGTCTTCTGTCAGTTGACCGATAATTTCTAAAAAAAAAACCGCGAACGACAAGTTTACAGCTCACAACATTACATAACAACCTTTGCATGTTTTCGCACAATACCACATTTGCCCTTGCCTCACCCAAATATGCACTACGGTTATTACAGTAGCATTCAAATAACTATTATCACAGCAATATTATATTCGCATTTCCAGTATTCTCGACTGCCAATTTAACATCTATCTGCATCAGATGCAGAGAACTCTACTGTGGATTTAAGAAATGACCACTGGTCAGTAGCATCCCCAGCAGCTACACATTCCCATGGGTAGAAAATCCACTGGAGTACCCGTCCCCCGCGTTCCTCAGCTACTTTAAAGCAGTTTATGGTAAACTATGCATGCAATCAATACTTCGTTTCCTTTTGTAACCCCGCACGAGCACTCTTCGATGAATTATTCATACAAGAATTCATCCCGCCTCTCCTTCAAATACGAAAATATCGAAACATTACACTCGTCCTCCTCCTTCTCTGCCCTTCCTTCTGTCTCCTCCCTTGTACTGGAAACACTTTGACTGCAGCAACCTTTTTCATCTTTTTCACATTCTGCAATATATTTTGCGGTCGTCTTTGCTGTTGTTCTCGCTCTGTCTCGTCGATGTTATAATCTCTGCTACCCTCTCATCTATCACACTATTCCTTGTCCTATTTGAATGTCAACAGCCTGCTCCAAAACAACTCTTGCTTTCGAGATCCCGTACTCTATTACCGGTTGTCATTCGGGATTTTTGTATTACTTCTTTCTCCAATATTTCGCTTTTTTATTCAAAAACATTTGTAATAAAATATTTTCTAAAAATCAAACTCTTTCCTCAATATTATGAACAACAAATTATTTACAGTATTCATAAGTGGTCATTTCAGGATAGTGATGGCCGAACAATATTTTGTGCATCGGTAGTTTATGACCAGACAACCTTTGCATGCACTATTTTTCGATCCAAAAGTTATCCGGAAGGTGACTTAAAAATTGAAACTGTTCCAGGACAACGACTCTTCGAGAAATTTTGCCTAAGTAACCAATTAATCCAATTTCCTGAACATCATTTGTTTAACAAAAATCAATTTCTCTTCATCCGGAAAAGCTATTTACGTTAATGAAATTTCCCAAAATTTTGTTCAGCTAAACGTCCGTTGGAAGAAGTTAAAATATGAGCGACTAGTGTGTAATGAGTGTTGGCCGTAATATGAGACAATTATTGTAACCGATTTCAAAATTCAAATAAGTTCAAATTTTTGAATATGTGCTCAAAAATTACTTTCAGTTTCCTTGGATGGCAGTGAAATTTAGGCTATAACTATCTATAAAGAATATCATCAAATTTAATAATTAATAGAAATATCTGAGTCATTTGAAAATAAAACTGTTAGAAAATTTAGAAAAATGAACTGATTCAGTAAACTTGTCCCTTTTTCATTTATTATAAACAGCTCTTTCTGTACTGAAAGGCATCTGCCGCAATACTTCAACAAAAATGAAAGCGATCTTATATTAGTGAAATGGAAATAAGCAAAAAAAAAAAAAGGAATAAAATTTAAGATGATAAGAAAAGATTACAGAAGATGCACCGATCGAGTGTGCAGACAGTCGGTTCCTGAAGATTGATCAGTCGGTCATCATTGGATATGCAAGAAATGTTTCGCTCGCAAGATCCGTTCAAGAATGTATTCAACAGTGCCTCACCGAACATTTCCAGTGCAGAGTATGTTGTCGTTCACACATTGCATATCCTCAAAAAATACCGAAAATCTGAGTGCATTTCCCTCGCACTGAGAAGAAATCTTTTTTTGTCTGTGTCAATCGATGGTAGAACAACACTTCAGCTGAATGAAGTGACCCAATGAATGCATAGGTGAGATGACGACGTTTCTAAAATGATACTGGGTATATCTCTCATAATTTCATGTGCCTGCTGCTAATGTTTCAGTCGGCAATGTACTTCTACGCGGAAGGTGAATGCATAACGAACACCGAATCAGCCATGACTCAACCAGCATCATTTGCCCGAGAAGAAAATGATAAGGTTATTTACATACAGAATGGCTGTCCAGCAATATTAGCACGACAAAAACAATTGGAAAACTCAGCAATAGCAGGTTATGGGCATTCTGAACATTCTCATATACCTTTTCGGATTACATAAATGCAGTCTGGTTCTAAGCAATCATTTTAATTTGAACACTGTGATACTCTCCCGACATGGAAGTATTTTGTGTTGTTTGCGAGGGATGAATTATTGTTCGGTTAAAGGTTTTATTGAGTGATGTCATAACACAATTATCGGGGGACATTTAGAATAGATCTACAGAATGCACTTTTTTTGAGATGAAGTTAATTCAGATTGTAGTTTGACAAACGTTTTTTTTTTTTTTTTTTTTTTCTTTGGGGAGGGGAAGGGGGGATTGAGATTGCAGCAATGGGTAGGATGAATCCAAACGATTGTTAGTAGGACGTGATCAAGTAAATAAGCCCAGGAAGTGACTTGTGGATGGTTCTAATTCCTTATATTT